TCGCTGGAGATATGTTTAATAATCACATTTGCCGGGATGTACGAATCAAATTCTTTATCAAGGTGATATTATTTGCTGCTTACAGGTGTGCACACGCTCTTGCAAATCTCGTTTAATGTGATGAGACGTTTTCAGACGTCTGAATAGAGTACGTGTCAAATGACTTACTGCCACTGGTGTTACCATTAAGACGAACTAGACTAACAGTTGGCATTCTTTCAACTAACTTCTGACGGGTGGTGATCTCAACATGGTAGGCAAGCTGCTTCATATGTCCCCATAAATAAAAGTCCAATGGGTTTAGATCTGGGGAATGTGGTGTCCATGCTATTGGACCTATCCATTTATTCGGGAAATGATCGTTTAACCAAGCAGTTATTTGTCTCCCTCTATGTGTTGGTGCACCATCGTGCTGATGCCACGTATTTTGAACAATATTAAGCCCTACGTCATCAATAAAATCGAGAAGGTTGTTTTCCAAGAATGTTCTATACATATCTGCATTTAAACGATTATTTAAAACATCTACATGCAGTAAATTATTGTTGAAAATGCTACCCCAAACGTTGAGACTGAAACGTTGCTGAAATCGTCTTGATTTATATAATTGCATGTGCTTTTGTAACGCCCAGATATGTTCATTATGTTTATTATAATCATTTTGGTCATGTTGTTGAAGTAACCAGCGACAAAATTCTAATCCAGCAATGTGACAACGGCGCGGCGGTTTATTAACACGAGGTACTAAGGTGTCCAGCAACCACCAATATGAAATTCAGTTGGTATCTGGATTTGACCGTGTCGGAGTGTTTTTTGCGTACCACTATTTCCATTTCTTGAGGTGTTTTCCAGCGAGTTCGGGATTTTTAGAAACGTAATTTGATTATTATGTTCATATAAGAAAAAAATAGTTAACCTAGCTACTATCTGCCTAAATTTGTCTGAAGAAAATGAAAATGTAGAAGAAAACACACCTATGAGAAGTCAACTATAGTTGTCGAAATATTATTAATTAAAGCAACATATTTGAATCTGCTTCTAAAAATCATTTGATCTTGAGCCCTAATAACATTTTTTGTTGTTTGTAGAACAGATCATATTAATTATCGACTTTACATCCAATTATTTATTTTTACATCGAACACTTAACACATAGGTGCTGTAAGACAATGAACGTATACTTGGTGGTTTCATCTTTCAATTTAGGTTACCATTAATTGGAGCTGTGCAGTTGCGTGGGTTTTGGTTTTATTGGATTAGATACCAAAACCATAGAAGGCCGCGTTTAGATCATGTTTGGTGTTTATATCTAGACAGGGCTGTAATTTATCAATTCTGAGGTTGAGTTTCCAAAACTAACGATCTCGCGAAAGCAGTTATGTGAAATTGTAGTTGGAGTAATCCTTTTCCGAATGATAACAATGGTGTGTTTTACCGTTACATCTTGGCAGCTAGATAATTAAAAAAATAAACAATTGCTTTCGTTTTTCCAGGAATCAGCAGTAATCAGTATAGTAATAATATCACAGATAAAAAATGACAGATACGTCATCAAAAAAAAAAGGGCCCCTGGCAATAAATCAAAATTCTATTTAAATACAAACCTAAGTTAGGTTTTAAGGTTTAGAAATCGACTTCCTAAATCTTTTTTTGTTAATAACTTTCGGAGAGACAAAAGGTTAAAGTTATACAGTTTTGCCCTTGACGGGATAAAAAATAGAATGTTGCAAAAACTATTGGGCCCACAGCGCCCATCATTCGTACATTTTTGAATAACAATAAAACACAACTTTTAGGCATATTGATAAAATTCCAACAAATAACAACCAAGTTATGGATAATTGAAAAATGCTGTTTTCCACGTATTTTTATGTTTTTTTGCAATAACTTTTAAACAATTTATCCGATTTTAATCTATCGGCAGTTTTTTTATTGCGCATATTTCGTCTCTTGAACACTTTTCTCTAAAATCAATAGTTTTTCCAATATATTGGAAAAATTGATTTTTGACCCAAATTTTTTTAAAAAAATTGACCCCGAGAACTGACCATAAAAGTGTTGTTTACAAGTCCGGTCCTGTCCGTTCCATTTCCTGCCACAACGGCGATATCCCGTAGTGTCCTGATGCCCTCCAGGTGGTCCCTCATTAGCTGGGAATCGCTTGCAGAAATCTCGCCAGGCTTAGATAGAGTGCTCTGGACAGATATCATTTATCATCTTGATGTGATCTGCACAGCCACAAATCGCGTATTGAACCACCACATACTTGTCATTATTAATAAGGCTATCACTCCTCGATTTATCGATATAAAATGCCATTTATTACGTGCACACGTCTGGCGGAGGCGCCGGTTGCCTGCCCGTGAAAGGCGACGTTCGCATAAAGCGAAATTGTGACGTTACCAAAAATTTACTAGAGCACACTTTAACATTTTTAAATAAAAACTTTTGTAACAAAAGCCGGGACGCGTAGTAATTTATTTGTTAGTTCTCGGAACGGATGGGCCAAAAGTTGAATATTTCAGTCAACACTAATTTTATCAAAAAGTTAAGAGCTTTCAAGTAGGTTTAGGGACACCACAAGGCCGTCCTTCGGAGAAGGCCCCATGAAATTTAGCAATGTTTTTTTGAACAAGTTCACTTAGACTGTCGGGGCCATGTGTTGAGCATCTGGTATAAAGAGAAAAATCGATATTTCAAATAACGCGCTAAGTGCATGAAGTTGTTAGAAAAATAATAATAGATCAAATAGCTGTTTTTTAGGCGGATTTTCCAAGCTATAAGAATAGACTGAATGAGATTGACTAATCCGTCCCGTATTACTACACGGAGTCACTAGAGGAAGGCTAGGGTTACTTGTTAAGTCCAGTTAGTCACAGAATTATTTATATAAATGTAAATTCAGTCCATTAGATAACTATTAACATGGCATACTTATGCCAAAGCGTGTCGAAGCGAGGTGTCGAATTCAGGAGAGATCTCCGAAAAACAGGCAGTTTTTCCTTGGGTTCCACATTGAACAGTCTACTTAGTTTTAGAGTCTCGGGCTAGTTTAATAATGGATAGTCATTCCAAATTTTTATATGGATCGCGCATTGCCTGAATCTCGGTACGCTGGCTGTCGCGTGTCAGTAAATTAATTAATAATGTTTTTCGAGCCCGTTGTGTCATTATTTTGTTTGTTTGTTTTGTTTTTATTGTTATTTCTAATTTTTAAAATCCAACGAATACGCCAGCGCGAAATTTCTTTGAAAGTCGAGCGATACGGATGAGCCGGCGCGACAATCAGCGACCCATTTGTATGTATGAAACGAAGTTGGCGCAATTACCCCTTGCACCTTCCATACAATCGGCGTGGCCATCTTGATGTGGCACGTGTTCGTGATATGTACACTCCAATTAGCCTACCTGAAAGCCCGTTTTAAAGGAGCTTTCGCGTTAAATCAGAGGCTGAAATGAATTTCGTTCAACTACAACTACCGCCAGCTTTAATTCCAATCAGATTTTATGGAGGAAGGATGTAGAGGCAATTTGAAAGACAGCGGTCACGTAATTAGGTTTTTAATCAAGCAAATTATTCCGTTGTTCCCGTTTCTGTTTGGCATGTGGACGTGACGCTGGCCAGCGCGTCTCTGAGCTGTGTCGTTGACTTAAGGTTGGCGTTTTATACAGTATGTCCGCGGTTAGGGTCAATAAGAGGAAACATTTTTTTATTTTACATTTTAGGAAAAAAAGGCACACTTGATACAAAGTTTTGCTTGAATTTAAAATGAGGTTGCCATGGTGGAACTTAACATTTTATGTACAGGGTGTCCAGAAAATAAAAAAATCTAAAAATGTCGCGAGAGTACACTTATATTTTTAATTTCTGAAAAGTGTCATTAGGAAAAGTTGTTCCAAATTAAATGATACTACATAATTCCAATTTGTGGAAAAATAGGCCTACTTTGATTATTTACAAATATTTACGTCAGCCGATATATCCGATAATTAATAATTTTTAGGGATTTTCAACGAAGTACAGTGACACAAGTGAAGAATAAAATGTCATTTTATTCACAACCTTCTATTTGAAATAAAAAAGTTTTTCCTCTTATTCACCCTTACCACGGACACACTGTGGACAAGAAATCGCACTTTTAGTAAGACAATGAGAACAAAATGTAAATTATGAAAATGTTGAAGTACAAGGATTCCTTTAATTTTTCGCAGTGAAAGAACACGGAAATCATTTACTATTCCCGTTCGAGAATTTTGAAAAATACTGAATGATTAATTAAATAGATTAGCCTTATGAGAAGTAGGAAATGTTAAATTTGTAATGTGTAGTCAATTTAACTCGGCTTCGTTTGAAAAACTCTGAATACGTGGTCTCCTCTTAGCTCGCTCCTACATGTAAAGTGTTTACAGCGGTGGCCATGGTTACCATCGCACAGCAGTGCCGGGCAAGGTGGGAGTAGTGTATATTTACTATGCACTCTGGGTTCTGTTTAGCCCGACCGTAACTAAGTAGTAGCTATTCAGGTTTTTTTTCTTATTAAACGTAATTTGTTGAGGTGTGGTGTAAAATTTTGTTACTTATGTTTCAATACGTTTAGATTTGACTGCGTAAACATTTCGGCGCAGGTATATCAAACTGTCTCACATTTTCCCAAATCAGTATAGTTATACTGTCCACATACTCCAGTAAACCTACTCCGGCTTACTTGTACAGCCCAACTTGGCAAACTATCAAAGTGTGTGTACTGAGCATTAGTTACACTTTCAACAACATCCTTTGACATGGTCTGTTGATAAAAATTTTAAATATGTTAATCCTTCTATTATAATTTAGAATTAATTAAATGAAAACATATAAGGAAAACTAAATATTTGTTTTGCTAGATAAAGTACGTTCTATTTTTTGAAATATATAGAAGTCTCTTTTTTTTTTCATTTAATGTATGTAAAACTTTTAAAGAGAGATAATGTATTTTACTAGTTCAATATTTGTTCTGACTTTATATACTATTTTAAATTTCCGCGAATGTCTGGGTCAAAGTGATGAAAATCCAGTTGTAACTATTGAAAGTGGACAAATCAGGGGTAAAAAGGCCTACAGTGTGGACGAAAATGCGGAATATTACGCATTTCAAGGGATTCCTTACGCTGAACCACCCCTAGGAAATTTGCGATTTAGTGTAAGAATTATTTTTAATATTTTAGTTAAGTGCTACTTTACTAAGTGCAGAGAGAAAGATAAATATAAGTAAGCTTTGTTGCAATAGATTGAATTATATCAAAAAATGTAACGTGATTCTTTGAACTAATTTTTACAAAAGTTAAAATTAGAAAAAAATAACTTTGTTATTATTTGTATCCCATCATTTACTTATCATTATTATTCGCATTGTCTCACAAGAATTTCATACTGATTTTTTTATCGACGAATTTTTTAAATATAACTATAAGTTTAAATGTAATGTTTTGTGTATTTTATAAGTGATAACAATGGGGGAAATAAAAGAATTACTGTTGACGCTCGAACGGAATTCGTGAAAAGTTTTTTATTCTCTTACACGAGGAACACATAATTTTGCTATATTTATGTTGCATGTGCATGTTGAAAGTATCAATATAGAGATAATAAAATATTTAAAAGCTAATTTATGTGAATTTCGTTACTTATTTGACTTTTTAGATGTACATATTTTAATGTTACAGGCCCAGTCAAGGCACTAAATTTAATACAACTAACTTCAATATAACTATTTTAGTCCAATTGAATGGGCCTTTAAATCGCAATTAGTGACAGTAATTCTTTCCTTAACTCCCGGCTAGGCGTGAAAGAAGATAAAATAAAGTGGTTTTTCAAAATAATCCAAAAGGGGTAAGAGAAAAAAAAGTTTCTTATAAAAGTTGTAGAGCATAAAATTCTACATAAAATTGGTCTTGACTTTTTCTTGTACTATTAAAATTAACATAGTTAGGGTGGCTATAAGTTAAGGGTTGGTTTCAGAAATTTAAAAAATCGAGTAGAAAAATTAATGAATTTTATATATATATTTTTTTCAATCTATTCTAAAAAATGTAAACTATCTTTTCAGAGAAATAGATTTTTTAATTTTTATTAAATAAATTATAACAATTAATTAACTACAGTCGCTAACAATCATTACAATTTTGATATAAGGTAAATTAGAGTTTAAAATGTTACTAAGAATGTACGCGTTGTTTATGAGACATCAATCAATAAGTTTTAACATAAGCCTACTTTGAGAAAAGTCACTTATTTTATACACCATAATATTGTAAGAGATTAATTAAAAGCTTTTTTTCTCGAAAACCGTCCATATTAGGAAGTTCTAGCAAGAGTACATTATTTTTTGAAAATAAGATTACATATTAGAAATTGGAGCCGAATGGTAAAAAACCTAATTTAAAAAAAAATGGAACTTAAAATGTAATAGGAATGTAGCACAACTAACGCCCTCTATGAAATATCCAAAAAAAAATTAGACCAGCGTATTTGGCATCCTTAAAAACCCCGAAATACCAAATTTCATAAAAATATTTCGCATCGTTTGGAAATTTCGTAAAAAAATCTACTTAAAAAATTTTATTTTGTCACTCTGTATCTCGAAAACAAGAGGAGATAGACATACAGTTCATAAGACAAAAAATTCTTATTTTTTTGTCGTATTATCACCCCCTGTATTTACGGGAGGTCTTTCTGAAACAGCCTGTACATATGTATTTCTCTGAAAAAAAAAGTTACCTACATTTTTTAGGGTAGATAGAAAAAAATTATAAAATTCATTAATTTTTTCTGCTTTCTATGACCTTTTTAAATTTCTAAAATCATTCCTTAACAACACATTGGCGTAGAAACTTTAAATATTTCTTTATAAGTATTAAGGAGCAAAATTCTACGGCACTGAATTTTCTGAAGTAGGAATATTGTCTGGGGATTTGATAGCTTTTGTATGTCTACATTCCTGGTATCGAAATCACTGTTTGATTTGGTTCTTTTTAAGAAATCAATTTTTGATATGTTCGACTTGTCTTAATATTTATAAAGTACAATAAAGTACATGCAATCATGTTCCAAAATTTACTTTAGGCCCCAGTGAAAGTTTCAAACTGGACGGATATACTTAATACGACGAATGACAGGAGCAGCTGTGTACAAGGTAGCTATCCAGTTGAAGGACAGGAGGATTGTTTGTTTATTAATGTCTACACTCCTAGCGTAAGTACAAACTTGCGAATATTTTAATATAAAGCCTGGGATTATTTTTGTAATGTATATCGTTAAATTTGTGGAGAAATGGAACAAATTTATTTGGTATCTTCTTTTTTTTTATAATTAGTTAAATGGGACAAGCCGAAGCGTTATGGTTTGGATATATGGGGGCACTTTTATAAATGGCAATTCAACATACGAAAACACTGGCCCAGACTATCTGTTAGATCAAGGTGTTGTTTTTGTGTCATTCAACTACCGAACTGGAATTTTTGGATTCCTTAGTACCGAAGACACGATAATTCCGGGCAACTGGGGTTTGAAAGATCAGGTGCTAGCCCTTGAATGGGTTCAGAATAATATTCAAAACTTCGGGGGAAATTCCAGTGACGTTACTATTTTCGGGGAGAGTGCTGGTGCAGCTAGTATTTCTTATCTGCTTCTGAGTAATAGGACAACTGGTGAGATTTTTCTCAAACTTCCTGGTGTCTATTAATGATTAAAATACTCGTATGTAGGTTTCTGGTGTGGTGATTAAATTTTGGTTTACACTAAAACATGCCTTCCAATAGACAATTCATTTGCACAAACTTTAAGAGAAAGAAAGCATTCCATTATTAGGAATTTAAAAACAACCAAATAAACAAATTTAACTTCAAACCTTGTATTTTGGAAAAAAGATATTTTTGAACACATTTTAAGACCAACATTTCCATAAAATAAATCGAAGGTTATCGTTATGACTTTTTTTATTCTCAAAGGTCTTTACAACAAGGCAATACTGCAAAGTGGTTCATCTCTATGTCTTTGGTCACTAAACAGAAGAGCCAAAAGGATAGCGTTCCAAATTGGATCATCTCTGGGTATTGCGACAGATAATTCTTCTGTCCTGTTAGAAGGACTGAGAGAAGTTGATTATGAAACATTGCAAAGCAGCGCTACAATAGAATCAACACTGGTAAGAAAATAATTCTTACTGAGAAAATTGATAATTTGCTTCAAGTACTTTGACAGCTTTAAAAAAACTACTGGAAAAAATCTGTGATTGGTTTATGATGTGCAATGTTTATTTTCTAGATTACATTAGAGAATCCCCTTGAAGGACTTTTCTTCAGCCCAGTAATTGAACCAGAACATGACGGTGCCATCGTGGTGGGTATGAGTGACGAGCTACTGCAACAGGGGGCGTTCAATAAAGTACCAGTTCTTCTAGGGTTAAATTCAAACGAAGCAGCTGCAGTAGGCGTCATACCTGGTAACATATTTCTTATCACAGCAAATATTGATTGTTAAATTGTAACCAAAAAGCGGGTACTTTCAACACATCAATATGATGCAGAGCCTCTTAAGGCAACTGATACAATTGTTTATAATTTTTAGATATTTTGCGTTTGTATTTGCTAATATATGACGTAGAAGTGGAAAACTTGGCACCTTATGATCTTACCAATTCCTCCTCAAGCAGGTTATTAGCAGCAGTTCGTGTTAAGGTTCACTATTTTGGACTTGAGTCGGTTTCTTCGGGTTCCGTTGGTATCATCGAGGTTATTTACTGCCTTATTAGTATTATTTTTTGTATATTAACGGTTTTTGAATTACAGTTCATCAGTGATGACCAATTCAACAGACCTATAAGGCGAATGGTGCAGAGCTTGGCGCAGTATGTGACCGTCTTTTTCTACCAGTTTTCTTATGAAGGAAGTTTATTTGGTGTCACCAACAGGAACTTTACAGGTATATTTGCTTATTTCTTTGTTTTCCTTTCTACTGTTTATTAATAACCTGCTACCAGATTTTAAGCTTATATATCCGGTTGTCTTGGTTTGACTATTTTTAGGAGTTGGACACGCAGAGGACCTAGGGTATATATTTCGATTAGGTTATGTTGACAATAGCAACATTACGGAAACCGACAAACTGGTAAGGTCGAGGATGGTGAAACTGTGGACTAATTTCGCCAAATATGGGTAAGAAAATAATACTACTATTATTACAAGTACTACTAAGTTACTATTTGTTACATAATAGACTGTTTTTTGATGTTTGTGCAAATATGTCAGCTTAGTTTACATTTTTTCCCTTATTTTAGAAATCCAACCCCTACTGCAGAAACACTTTTGGAAAACATTACCTGGGAAGCTGTTGGTACAGATCCCTTAGATTTAGATTATTTAAACATAAATACCACCCTTACTCTACAGCAGAACCCGTTCGAAGAATCCATGGAATTTTACGATTTTATTTATGAAACATATGGAGAAGCACCTCATGATACTTATTAAGTGCCTATCTAATTCAAAAATTAAAATAAAAGAATTGAAATGCTAATTAAAAGATTTTTGTTGTTTATGTGAAGAATCTGTTGGTGGCTTTATCCCATATATTGCAGGTTTCGTCGACAACGAACCACTAGATATCGGTTGCGATGTCTCGAAACCCATAACTTTTGAGATATTCTTTAATAAACCTCGGATCAAAGTCGACATTGTTTCTTTCAATTTTTCTCATCTTCGATGGGATATTACAGCTCTACTCTGTATAAAATAGCATAGCATCGCTGATTTATAAATACGAGTTAATAAAAATAATTTAAATTTGGAAGAAGACGTTTTACTGACAACATAAGCGGTATCGCATAATACTGTTGTCTCCGCAATGCTCGAGGAAAAATAACAAGAAACAGTAAACTTACTTTTATAAGTTTAAGGGCCCTCAGGGATGTTATTATTGACGTTTTCATCTCTACACTACCTTTCGCCGAATTTTAAAATCCTCCGAAAGCTGAGTGAGGCTTAAATAACTTCATACTCGGTTAAATAGCTGGATAGGATATTTTACACTATAATAATTTACTTTAGGTGATGCCTTGTTACATTTTATAGTTTTAAAGTATGAATAGCTGGTTGCTCTGTCTAGAATAATATTTTTTTATTTTACTACGTTATTTTTAAACTCATTTTAAACTTTTTATATCAACTTTAGGTCTCTGTTAAATTACTTATATAAATAACTTGGAGCAATAAGTTAACTTTTTATTAAAATTGATTTTTCTACAGTTCTACAATTCATAATGTCAGAGGTACCTTTGAGGGTAAGAATCTATTAAGTTCCATAAATATTAAAGACCGTGTCAAAAGCCCCAGCTTTTTTTATATAATTTCCAGTGTAAAAAATTGCTTTTATAAGAACTTGTTCAATAAAGCTTGTCTTTATTGTATGGCCTTATTGCACACTTAATAGAATTGATATGTCTAGATATAATTTATACAAAAAACTTCAAATAACATAATCATTCAAAGGTTTCGAAGAACATTGATTTCATTTGATAACATTTTTTGGAAAAAATCTTTTGAATTTGTTTGAATTAACGTAATACTTTTAAAACAGAATAATAAAAAAAGATACTGATATTTTGACCCAACGGTAGATAGTTGTTTACGTTCTTGAGTCTTATTGCATTTATTAATAGAGTATGAATAAATTTTAAAATATAAAATGCGGACCATGTCGAATATATCCTGCCATGTGGACGAGTATATCGTCTTCGGCCATTGTAAGCGTTCGATTAATTTTTTCCCGACCGTTCCCTTCGTTATTAAATCCTTCCAGTTTCCCGTGAGATCAATAACGTCCAATGAGTTTCTAAATAATAGACTTTCTTCTAACTTGCCGTATATACGAAGTAGCCATATACGAGAACATATTAAAATTCTTTACTTAATAACACCGCGTTTAAGCTATAAATTTTAGACAAAAAAAAGGATTATTTTATCCCTCCATTAGATTTTAAGTTGTGTGATAAAAGTGTAAATAATAAGAAACAGTCTAGAATATTTATAATTGCACTTAGAATTGTTGTTAATTTATCAAAGGCGTAAAGTAGTATTATGGCTTAGGATGTGATTGCCAAAGTTTTTTAGATTAATTTTTTTTTAGAATAAGGTAAAAATAAAAAGTTGGCATATTTTTCTAAATAAAATAGTACTCCACTGCTTTACGGTAACGATCGTGATATTTTCGGATTCATATTTCAATTATCTACAACTTACTATTCTCTTATGTTTTTCGGAAAAAGCCTGATTTTCGAGTAAAACTCAAAAAACGACATAAATGCTTGTGCCCAATTTCAAATTGTTTCACTTGCTAGTTTTTAAATTATTGAAAAATAATTATTAAAAATATTCTTTTAAGGTTAACACCCCGTATCTTTTTAACTAAGGGTCCTAGATAAAAATTGTATGCGAAAGACTCCCCTTAAAATTCATCAAAGAATACGAGGCTGCATTTTTGATCACAGTTTGTAAATCACCCTGTATAACAAGTCATAGTAATGTTTTTCTACAGTACTTGTTTTTGAGAGTGGGGTAAATAATTCTTGTTTAAGATTACCTATTGTTTTTCATTCAAATCTGTTTTTACGAAGGTCATCTGTTTCATGCCATAAAATAGAAAGTCAGTAAATATTGACGGTTTTTGTTTAACTAACAAAGTATGAGTACCTAGGTGTTTTCCAAGAGTAAGACTGTAAACAAAAACTTTTATGGAAAGCCTTAAAAGCAAATGTTTTGAAAAATAGATTAATAAGGGACTTATTCATAATATTTAGATAGCTTTTCATAAAATATCAAAACTTTGTTTTATTTGATGTTGAATTTAGAGTTAAAAAAATAATTATAAGATGTTTCTTGGAATGTGTTTTGTATTAATTATATTTAGATTTATCATTTTTAGTTTTTATTTGTGATAAATATTTATTAACTGCAAGTTAGTACGCTTTGCAGGCGTGACTCAATGCTAGTTGAGGCATGTAAAATAGAGTAAAAAATGATTGAAATAACATTCGCATGACATCTTAAAAAATAAAGGAAGGGGGGTGAAAATTATTTCCTATGACAAAAAGTAATGGCGGTTTTCCACTAAACGGACAGTCGAGTTTATGTCCTGTTTGTGTTTTCTAGAACAAAACAAAAACAAAACTGAAACAAACCCAAAACTCTTGTTTCCATCAAGCGGGCTACATTTTGTTCGAGTTTTGTTTTTATTTTCAGTCCTTTTCCAGTGGTTGTCGCGAGGAAGTCAGAATACATTTTTCCAATAACCAGCCAACATGTTTAAAGAAGATTTTTTTTATTCTTAGTTATGGCTGGTTTATACTGAAGTCCTTGGAAAAAAGTGTGTCTACAGAGTGTCCCACCTCGAACTCCATCGATGGATATCTGGGAAATACCGCTCTAAGGATTTTTTTTTTGAAATTGTGATGGTGTGATACGGACCGTGGGGCCCACCACGCTAAAATATTTTCAAGGTCATCGTACTTCCAACAAAAATTTTGAAGAATGAGTAGTAGTACATTAAGTTGTACCTATCTTTCCATTTGATTTTTTTAAAATAAAGCAGTTTGTTACTTTTATAGAAGATAAAAATAATTTTATTGAATTTCTAGTAGCCATATTAATCATCAATTTTTTTTCCCGAAATCTATAGGACAAATAGTTTCCGAGGCACAGCCGACCGATGACTTGAACGGGACACACGGTATAATTAAAAAATTGATTCAAATTAGTCTGCATTTTCCAAATTGTCAAAATAAATCACCTACGGAGTATCCATCCGAACCACGTAAAAAAGTACGAGGTAATGTGGCAACAGACCCTTTCCTAATGAGCGAAACAAGCACGTGACATTCGGCCTGCTCCATTACACTTCAAGCGCCCTACCTACAATGGTATTCTCACATGAAAGTAATACATACTGGTTGGGATGTTACCGGTTGGCTGGGCCTGAAACAACTTTGTTTCGGCTCGTTTGGAATCACACTAATATCGCTGTGGATGGCCGGGATGGCGTATTTCATCTATAAAATCACATCAGTATATTATCGACCATAATATTCAGAGTGCATCTGCCGGGTCTACGTAGGTAAAACCGTTAGCGAAAGGCGACTGTGATCTGCCGAGCGTTGTTAAAGCGGCATCAGGGGTGCCCTGTTCCGATACACCAACCGGCTGGAAAATTATTGTCACCAAATATGCGATACGGCTCTCTCTACCTGATGGATCCGGCAGCGACTTGTGAAATTTTCTCCTTTTTATGTTCTGTTTATTATTACGGTACTATTTTTGATACATGCGGCGGTGTAATTATTGCTTCGTATCCACACCGACGCAACATTGTTAGCTAATTGCGTTCGCCTGTCCCAGCTTAACACCTACTTCATTATTCTAGTTTTACTAGATCAAGACAGAACATCCTTATGTCCGAACAAATTTCGGACGGTTGCGACGTCATCGGTTTAGACTTCTTGACTTTTCAAGAAACATGTCGCTCCCTTCTTCAGAAGAAATTCTGATCCTGGAAATTAATAAGTTACATTTGCTGTGTGGGATTTTTCATGATAGTCTAGTACATAATTTCTAGTTAAGGGCGCATATTGCTCTGGTCTTTGATTTTTAAGGCTGAGTTGTGTCCAAATTTCAGGTAGTTCTAACCTTTGATTTTGATTAGAGCTATCTCAATTCTTCTGCATTTCTATTGCATCCCTTGGACAAAATCTTCCTCAGCTCTAATCATAATTCTGGTGTTAGTTAGATCGATCACCCGTTCTGTATCTGGAATTTACTCTGCAATAATTGCTAATTTTTCTACGTTGTGATTTTTCAGTAACACTGGTGCCCCTTTAACCTTGTACTGACGTACTGATGTCCGGATATACTGCTTTGATGTGGTCCAGGAATCCTTCTGTGTCGTACCTATGAAGCCAGATATTAAGTCAACAAAG